ATTGACAGGGAGAGAAAAGGAGTAGAAGATTGCAGTCCCGATAGACCGATCTGCGATGAGGCTGAGATCATGTGTTCAATCTTCTTTTTTTTTACCCCGTCTTGTTCGCCCCGTGTTATTGTTGTGGTTGTGGTGGTGATGGTTTCTTCACCGCCCTTTTCGTTTCTACCCATGCATTTCGAATCCACTGACTCAAATGAATCCTCCTTCTTCTTTCTCTCCCGCGGGCGGCATCGGGACGGGACTGAGAGTGGAAAGTAGTGCCTAAAGTAGATTAACTACGGCTAACTTAACTAATAGTCCTCAGTAACTCGACGCCCGGAGTAGTGCCGGTAGTGGTCTGGTAGGTAGTACTGATAGTACTCATAGCACTAACTTATAGTAGATAGTGAAGACCACCTCACGCACCACTTATTGTTCCTCCCTTCCACGGCACTTCTTCCTCCACCCTCCACCTCCACTACCACCACCACCACCACCACCACCACTACTTTCTACCTACTTTACCTCTTCTTACCTCCCCTCTTTCTCCCTTCTTCGGTCCATTCCCTTCTACTTTCCCTCCTCCCTTCTTATTCCTTTCTCTCCCCCCCTCTACTCTCATCCCTCAATTCCATTCCAATTCCTCTTTCTGGTCGCTTTGATCGGGATTTGTCCTGTTCCGGTCTTCACCGCCACCCACTGACTCTCAATTGCTGAGAACGGATCCCACCTTAAACCACTTCCCCCCCACTACCCTCCTCAAGACGACCGATACAAGCGACGTGTGTCTCTCTCAACCTCTCTTAGAAACACACGCATCATCTCATTTACGGCCTGATCATGGTCGTTCCCTCGCGAAATTGAACCATGGGGAACTGCAGCTCAGTCTAGTTGATCGGTCTGACTGTTGGTTTCCTGCTTGTTTTATCGGCGCGTTTTATTTGAACGCTTCTGCGTAATCGATCTTGCGATCTCTTTCCCGCACTTTTCCCTACCCTGCAGTTCCGTTCCGAGCCACTTGTATCATCATGCTCGGTCGACTATTGAATACTGCAGCGGCCACTCTCAATCCGACGGCATACTCCGCGAAGAACCCCCAGCCACTGGAATCGGTCACAGAGGAGGAACATACATCGGGCTTGCTTTATCCTGACGTTAGCCTTCTTCGCCGCTCCAACTCACACGCGTACCCCCTTCATACCGCTTTCAATTCCCCGAATACCTCGACGGCCGGTGGATATGATGATCGTGGTGGCGGCGTCGAATTGGACCACCTGAAGGATTTCCGTGTGATAATCGCCCAGAACGCGCTGGGAGACCGGGATGCCTGCGTGTTACTGGATACCCGGGCCACGCCGCAGGGACAAGGCTCACATGGTCTGGGCTTGGAGCCACAGGTGTTTGAAAATACTGGTACCCGCCATGCCCGCACGCTCTCCACGTTGACTCGCGGCCCGCGGCGGGGTTATCTGCCTCAGTCATCGGTCGTGGAATCAAGCCCGCTGTCTGCGGCCGCAGAGACACGGCGATCCCCGCCCATGTCTTCTGGCGCGTTCATGAGGGCACGGGTTCGTAGCTCTACGCTGGCGCCAGGTGGGAACTTCACCGAAGGTGGCCATTCCCGGGGCACGACGGATGCGAACGATTCCGGGTTGCTGAACTGCATCTTCGGGAGCAGTGCTTTCAGCTACAAGGGTTCCTCCACCAAGATGCATATCATTTCCGCCGATGATGAACCGAGTCAAACCTCGCCAGCCTCGCCGGCGGCACGTAGCTCTCTATCACGAGCATATACTACAGGAAGTTCTACGACGTTTGGCGGTTCTGATCGTGGTAATGAGTCTAAACCGCCTGCCAAGGTCACTATCCTGTTGACAAGGATGTTCAGTGTGCATCTGCCCGAAGGCGGAGATGATGACTCCTCTCCGGACAGGCCTGACTTGTCATCTTCAGTCTCCCACGACGCTCTCCCGAGCCCAGGGTTTCCCTTCCCGGATGTCTCGAAGCGCAAGAAGATCAAGGAGAAGAAAACTCCCATGTATGCGGTCGCTATCACAATCCAGATCCCGCTCTTATCCCGAAATGGTGGGCGGCCGGTTTCTCGGTTTGCGCAAGGTCCAGACTCTCCCAAGCCAGGGCTTTCGTGCTCATTGGACTCGGACTACCGTTGGCGTGGAGGCTTCTTCGAGGACAGTCTGTCCCATGCATCCCCTCCTGCAAGTTTGGATGAGCGTATTGATCTGCTGGTTGATCATTGGGACATCATCAACCGGACGTTGTCCCATTTGGAGAGGCTGTCTCGGAACGAGATCCTGTTCTTACTCAAGAAAGTAGACGCCTCGGCAGGGCCGCATCCGAAACCCGCCAAACCTCCAAACATGCAAAGGACGAATCAGACTTTTGTTCATCTGCCGGTCAATGTTTTGTCCATCAATTCCAAACTCCGCGACGAAGCCATCCGCAGCACTCGTCGCATTAGCACGGCTCTGCAGATGCCGTACGTTGTCACAGGCCAGAGCCGCTGGGGCGTCTGGCGTGAAGAAGGGCGGTCGATAATCCGTAGCCTCGGAGACAAAGACCACAGTTTCTTTTTCCTGGTCTTGGTTACTGCCTTCTTGGGAAACCATACGGAGTGGCTCAATGCTGTGGGCCCGGAGTGGTACCGTCGGCGGCACTACCTACAACAGAAGGCTCAGCAAGACGCCGACCCGATGCTGGCGAATCGCACCGTGATCATCTCACCGGATAAGATGACTGCCAGAAGACTGATTTTCTTGCTGGCGGCGTTTTTGCCGCCCAAACAGCGCTTCGAGCCCCTGCCGTCTCCGATTCGCCCTGGCACTGCGGCGTCGACTCGTGCTGTCTCCCAGAGCCCGCCTAATGTTCCTATCCTACGACAGGAGGCATTGCGGAGGGTGATGGAACGACGGTCTCGTGCGCAGCGCCTCAACCTCAATGAGAGAGAGCAGCACCAGCGTTCTGTGAGTGCTTCATCGAATGAGACGGCCCATCGTTCGGCGGAAGAACCCGAGCCCATGATTCCGCCTGATTTTGGTGCGAAGCGCAGGGGCTCAGATGCCCGCTCGATCCGAGCCTTAGGGGTTCCTATCCATACTAGAGACATGCGTCCGAGGAATACCAGTGCAGCCACCACCTCGACCACTACTCCGAGTAGTACCGTCCCCGTCCCGCACTTCGCCTCGCAGAGCCGGTCTGAGCGGATGGGATCGGATCCAAGTGTGGCTGAAGGACGTGACAGCCTGGCGTCGGAAACTCTTCTAAAGAATTTGCGGCGGTCCGAAACCTCGGCAACCTGTGCCAATGGCCAGATGCCTCCCGCGAGTGGCCGCTGGGGCACATTGTTCTCTGGCTTATGGAGCTCTCGTCAGGAGTCATCAGACGCTGGTGACGCCCCTGCGCCATCTGAAGCGCGCAAGCGATCGGTATCTGCTTATACGAACCCAGCCAGAAGGAACCCTCCGACACTTGCCCAGATGGTCAAAGAAGCATCAGAGGAACCCATGCCGGCGGCACCCAAAGCTACTACGAGCGGCAACATCTCTATCCCTCCGGCGACAAACAGTCATATCTCATTCGAGGAGGACGCACCGGATTTCTCGTCGACCACGGACCAGACCAGGGAGTCATCCTTGAGGATGGCCGTTCGTGGAGATGACGGCGTGGTGGATGTGGACCTGCCGCTCCCAGGGTTCCTGTCGCTTTCGTCGTCTGGGGACTCCACGCTGGCTTCTCCCAAGAAGACCCGCACCTCGGTTACTAGTATGGATGCAATGGCATCTACGCAGAGCAGTGTCTCCGGGTTCCACGGCAGTCTCAAGGACAATGATGGACCTAACACCAACGTCGCTGGCTGGCTGCGAACTTTCCATGACGATTTTCTCCTGCAGGCCGTGAGACCATACGCTTCGCTGGAAGCCGATATCAAGCGCGCCATGCAAGCCGAGCCTACACCAAGCCAAGCTCTGTGTCTCAACGCTGATGGTTCCGAACGATGGGTGGATGTTGCGACCACCGTGATTGCGGATGTCCGGAACTTCACCGTGAAGCGACTGCGACTGAGACGTAAACTTGTGGGACATGGGTCGTCGCGCAAGGCGTATACGCCGTCTTTCCCGTCGCAGCCCGGCACTCCGCGGTACGTGTCCAACGGGTCTGTCTCGGCCTCGCAGCTCACCAGCTTCTTCTCGCACGCCACTGGGTCGAGCAAGACATCGAACAATTCCTCCATGGACGATTTCTATCCTACCGAGGTTGAAGAACGGTTCGTGGAAGAGCCCGTGATGGATCTGGATGGCACTCTTGTCGATGCTCTTGAACGGGTGCTTGCACAGAGTGGACCGTCGTCCATGGTGCACTCTCGCGCGCCGTCGCCATCCCGTGGTCGTCGCGGAGAGGATAAGCAGGCATCGGATGCCCCCGTGCCCACACGGGAAGAAATCCGACCTGTCGAGGTGCCTCGGACTGAGTGTCGCAAGCTGGTCCTCGGGGCGCTGGAAGAGGTGGTGCGCAGTGTGACGGCGGAGCATTGCCGCGAGGATGTTGACGGGGAGCTCGGCCTAGCAGATCGCGAGCGCAAGCGTACGTTGGCCGGGGCGGATAATACGCTGCGCGAGGGAGTTCGCAAGTGGCTTCTCGATGTTGAGGAGGCGTGGTAGGGATTATTTTCTGAGTGGATTCTCTGTTCTGATGCTTTTGTGTTAACATGATACCCATGTTGAGTATTTTCTGCACTCGACCCAGCGTTGAGCATACATACATACATACATACATACAGTACAACATCATACATACATACATACTTACATGATATGACGGCCGTGAATGAAAGATGCTCGTGAAATGTTGTGCGCCTGTAATTTAGGAATTGATTAAAATGGATCAGCCCATCGGCGACCTTTCCCTTCTGGCGGGCTAAGCGATTGGTGGACAAATCCAATACTAAGGATAAATCCAGGGTCTGGTTAGCATTTAGCCAATTTGACTGCGCGGGTTTTACCCCTCTTCCAATCACCCCCTCTCTCGGTTCTCTCGGTCTTCCGGCCCGTGAGATGCAATGGCATCGATTCATCCGGCGCAATCCTGGTCTGTCTGTCTGTCTGTCTGTCTGTCAGTGCTTGTACTGCGGGGGTGGGGTGGGATGTTGGCAATGCTCCATCCAGTTCATACTTAAGACGCACTGCACCACCCAGGGACCGAGGTCTCTCCTCAGGGTCTAGCATTGCTCTCCCCCAACTTCAAACCCTTGAGACATTATCAATTGACACACCGCATCCATCACCATGAAGTTCACCGAGGGAATGTGGCGCATCCGGGTGAGTGTTCTCTGTCCAAGACCGAGCCGATCAGGAACTAATCCGCGGGCTTCTGCTGGGAATGACAGGAGGGGATCCGGATCGACTGGATGAACAACGTCGAGCGACTGAGCATCGAGAACGAGACGGTGGATCTGCTCCTGAACAAGTTCCAGCGGCACCGTGGTGACACTTTAAACTCCGGTGAGTTCCATGTCGTCTGTATCCAGCTGCAAAGTGGAAGAGAGCTTGGACTGACGTGATACGTCTAGCTACGGTCTCAGCGCAGGTCACGTCGCCATTGGAAGGGATTATCGGCGTGAAGCTTGTCCATTGGTCGGTTACCCTGTTCCTCTCTCTTCCAAATCTCCGTCCCAAAGCACTGGGCGACCGTGCAGCAAGTGTTTTCGTTCCGAATTCATACTGAACGATGCACAGGGCCGGCGGCATCGGCAAAGGCCCGCACTACGAGCTCACCACATCCACCGGCCACGCCCAGATCTCGCACGAGGAGCACCAAGCACTCCACTACCGCAGCGGCGGGCTCGACCTGGCCGTGACGACGGCGCCCAACGAACTCGACTTCGTCTTTTCGGCCTGCAGCAACAACAGCAACAAAAAGCTGACGGGCCACTCCTGGCGCTCCATCGGGTACATCGGCGACCAGACCACCGAGAAGTCCCGGTGGGACGACGGCATCTTCTTCGAGCGCCAGGGGTACATGCTGGCGGCGCTGGACCTGGGCGTGGGCGAGAAGCTGTACGGGCTGGGCGAGCGGTTCGGCCCGTTCGTGAAGAACGGGCAGACGGTCGACATCTGGAACGAGGACGGCGGCACCTCCTCCGAGCTGGCGTACAAGAACATCCCGTTCTACCTCAGCAGTGCCGGGTACGGGGTGTTCGTCAATCATCCGGGGAAGGTGAGTTTGGAGCTGCAGTCGGAGCGCACCACCCGCGTGAACATCTCGGTGCCCGGCGAGGAGTTGGAGTACTTTGTGATCTATGGGGACTCGCCCAAGGCGATCTTGGAGAGGTATACGGCCTTGACGGGGAGGCCGAGCTTGGTGCCCGCTTGGAGTTATAATCTTTGGTTGACGACGAGTATGTTCCCCTCTTGATCCCCACCCTGGTGTAGGTTTGTTGGTGACTGGCTTTGTGAGATGCCATTGCTGATGTTACTGTGTGCCGTTTGTGCCGTGTGCAGGCTTCACGACCAACTACGACGAACAGACCGTCACCGGCTTCCTGGATGGGTTCCGGGACCGCGAGATCCCGCTGGGTGTCTTCCACTTCGACTGCTTCTGGATGAAGTCCTACCAGTGGTGCGACTTCGAGTTCGACTCGGCCATGTTCCCGGACGCCGCGGGGTATATCAAGCGGCTGAAGGAGCGCGGGCTGCGAATTAGTGTCTGGCTCAACCCGTACGTGGGACAGGCGTCGCCACTGTTCAAGGAGGGCAAAGAGAAAGGATACTTCATCAAGGTAAGCCGCCCGCTGGCTACCTCCCCCCCCCCCCTCGTTTACCCCCTCACTAAAACACACCCAGCGAACCGACGGCACAGTCTGGCAATGGGACTACTGGCAAGCGGGCATGGCGATCGTGGACTTCACGAACCCTTCCGCGCGGACCTGGTTCCAGACGCACCTGCGCCGCCTCCTCGAGCTGGGGGTGGACAGCTTCAAGACGGACTTCGGCGAACGCATCCCCTACCGCAACGTGACCTACTTCGACGGCAGCGTCGACCCCACCCGCATGCACAACTACTACACCCTGGCCTTCAACGAGCTCTGCTACACGACCCTCCTCCACCACCACCCGGACAACGCCCACACCCCCAACAAGTCCGGCGCCGTCCTCTTCGCCCGCTCCACCGCCGCGGGCGGCCAGAAGTTCCCGATCCACTGGGGCGGCGACTGCGAAAGCACCTACGAAGCGATGGCCGAGTCGCTGCGCGGCTGCCTCTCCTTGAGTCTCAGTGGCTTCATCTTCTGGGCCTCCGACATCGGCGGCTTCGAGGGCACCCCGCCGCCGGACGTGTACAAGCGCTGGGTGCAGTTCGGCCTGCTCTCCACGCACTCCCGGCTGCACGGGAGCCACTCGTTCCGCGTGCCGTGGATCTACGGCGAGGACTGCTCCGTCGTGCTGCGCGACTGCGTCAAGCGGAAGATCGCCCTCACCCCGTATCTGCTGCGGAGTGCGCTGGAGGGCGCGCGCCGCGGCACCCCCGTCATGCGGCCCCTCCTGCTGGAGTTCCCGCACGATCGGAACGCCTGGACCGTGGATACGGTGTATATGCTTGGCGGGGATCTGCTGGTCGCGCCGGTGTTTAGTAAGGATGGGGTCGTGGAGTTTTATGTTCCTGACACTAAAGGAGAGTGGGTGAGTTGGTTTGATCACGGCAGAAAGTATCTCGGCGGCAGGTGGTATACTGAGACCCATGGGTTCGAGACCCTGCCGTTGTTGATTAGGCCCGGGGCGGTCGTGCCGGTGAACTTTCAGTTGACGAAGCCGGAGGATGACCCGTTGAGTGGGTTGGAGGTGTTGGTTAATGGCGATCTCCAAGGGGTGGTCGAGGTGGAGGTTGTTGATCCGGTGAGGGCGCATGAGGTGCGGAAAGTTGTGAGGGTGGGGAAGGAGGAGGGTGGTGTGGTGAAGGCTGATGTCGAGGGGGTGAAAGTTGCGGTTATTCAGTAGGGGGGCCGTGTGTGTGGGTTTGACTCAAGTAGGTTTTGGTAGATTGGCTGTGTTTGAATCGTGGTTGTCGGGCTGTTTTATGGTGCAGTGGTGGACAAGGGATGTAGCAGTTTGAGATGCTATACACAACTGCGAGTGGGTGTTGCGAGGCCCTGAAAGGCGAAGTAAGATAGATAGGTACTCATACAATTGTTCATTAGGTTGTATTACATGGCTAAGGTAACAGGGTATCCGTCCACGACCACTACACATACACATACACAACTGACTCATCGACAATCATCCCACGGTCTTCATAAGCAACCCCGCCTCAAACCGCTTGACTTCTCCCTCGAATCGAATCACATCAACGGCCTCAAACTCCCACTCCGCGGACTCCCCCGCACAAGATTACTCCCCTCGTCCCGCGAGCGCGCCCGCGCCTCCGTCGACGGATTCATCAGCACCGCACTGGAATGGATCCGCTGCGGCAACGCCGGCAGCAGCGTATGCTGCGGATGGCCCACGACACTATCCGGCAGCTCCAGCGAAGGGATATCCGTCATCTTGGTCGGCGGGATCGAGGGCGTGACGCGCGTCGAGACCGGGCGCGCGTGCGATTCCTTATAGAACTGCTGCAGACGGATGTGATCATTGCAGAAGTCCACGATTCCGTTCAGGATGTGCTCGGGCGCGCGGTAGAGGTTCGAGGAGTCGATGCTGGGGTGTTGGCCGGGCGGAGCGACGAGGGGGAGGTTGGCACTGTCTTTGGGATTATTCGCAGCGCTGGAATTACTGGTGGTGTTGCTGCTGCCGCCGGCGATATTGATGCTGCCACTACCACCGGTGAGATCATGGATTGGGCGGACCATCGGCGAGAGACGCGGGGAGGAGGTCGAGGAGACACGGTCCGCAGCAACCGGGTCGTACGTGCCGGCGCGTGCCCGGTACTGCTCCGCGCGCTCCATGCGCTCCAGGCGCGGCATGTCGCGGCTCGCGGTGCTGCGCGTGCTCACCAGCCGGTTGGCCAGGAACAAGAATTCGCCCTCGTCGGTGATCTGGGCCAGCAAACTGCCCGAGCGGTGGATGAACTGCGGGTAGCGGTAGTCCGGGATGCCCCAGGAGTAGGAGACCTCAACGTCGGCGGGGAACGCCGACCGGGCCTCGAAGTCGAGGACAAAGTCGAACTTGCGCAGCAGGGCCTTCTGGAAGTAGAGGGCATCCGGATTGAGGTTCTGAGCCGAGACGGGCGCCGAGGGGTTGGGGTTGTAGGGCACGGGGACTGGCCCGCGCGGGGGCGGCACCTTGAGTTGCACGCGGAAGGGCTTGCGGAAGGGCTGCGTCTGGTCGATCGCAGACGCCTCAGCAATGGGCACCTGCACGAGCTTCAGGCCGAACTTCTCCGCGGTCGCCGCCCACGACAGCACCGTGTCCTCGATCAGTTTGGCCGTCGTGCCCATCCAGCTGAGTTCGATGTGGAAGCAGTTGTCCGGGTTATGCAGACGGTCGTAGTGAAGATCGATGACCTCAGGGCGGTTCGATCGTCGACGCGGGTCCACGTCGTACTGCATTTTCTTCGACAGCATGATCGTAGCTTTATTCTTGGCTCTGGACGGCGTGTTGGGCACCTGAGGCATGGAGTCATCCACACTCTCGGACCGGGACTCGGATCGAGACTCGGATCGCGACTCCGCGCGGGAATGATTGCTCGAGTGATCGGCCGCAGGAGTCGAGGGGGTCGCCTTATCCGGCCGCATCTGAGGGAACCAGCCGCCTCGCGACTCCGGACGATGCGGCCGATATTCGCTCGAGAGCTGATAGAAATAGTTCCCGTCGCGGAAATTGTGTCTCCGTTCGACGTGATGGAAGAGTCCGTGCTTCAGCAGTTCGTTGCCGAAGTCCACCGCTTCCTCTCGGGTGTCGATATCGCGGAAAGTCTGAATCAGCCAGGTGGTGAGTTCGAATCCGATAAAGCAGCTGTAGTGCAGGCGCCAATGCCACCGTCGATCCTCCATCCGTATACCTTTCTCGCCCTGAATGGCCTGTGCCAACGTGGACAAGGTGATGCTGGAGCGCTCAAACTGCTCAGACTCAGGCAACAGCTGGGCAGGCGCACTATCCAAGCTGGGGTCGGTCAGTTGCATCCGGTCCAACTCCGCGGCGACAACCTCCGACGAATTCTGCGTGTTGTAGATAATGTTGAGCGGATTCTCGGCCTTTTTGCCATTCGAAGCATTGAAAAGCTTCTCCTCCGGTGGGATGTACTTGTGGCGCTGCCAGATCCGTGTCAATTGGTTGATACCAAGAAGGTGAATCTCCTCTTCGTTGTCTTCGTTGAAAGTCTGAATGTGACGGCGGGAATTCACGTGCAAATGCATTGGAATCAAGACATAGCGCACGCGCCAGAAGTGGAGCTGCTGGGATGGGTTAAAGAGATAGTCTCGATGCCCAGCCACGTAGTTGTCGGAGTAGTTCCAGTTGTATTCCTCGAGCTTCGAATCGAGTCGGATGTTCTTCACCTCGTACTGCGGGCTCAAGATCGTCCGCATCGCCGGCGAGTACATGCTGAAGTCATCAAACTGTTCCGAGGCAAGAATGGAGGAGTTGCGATGGGTATAGCGCGTCACTTCGATTTCCGCGCCTTCCACACAGATCAATCGATGAATGGTGTTGCCCTTAGATAGAAACACAGTAGCACCATCTCTTTCCAGCCCACGCGTGTCAAATACATTGGGCGATTCCAGAGCATACTGCCCAGAGGCTTCTACAACAGCTTTGCCAACCACGATCTGAAAGCCATGTGAGAGACGCAAGGAGATCATCTCGCGAAGGAGCACACCTCGTGTTTTTGGAGGCTCGATACCTTCCGCATCTTCATTCGGGAAGACACGATACGGGGTCTGGAAGTAGTCCGAGGCCAGCTCCTTCGCGGTGGGGAATTCTTCCGTAGTTAGAGGTAGAATGGCAGGGGACTTCAAACTTTTCCATTTGACGACGGCCACATGGGGAGGTCTGGGGTAGGCATGCTGCCAGCGCCCAAACCAGCTGGTCTCCCGCATTACCTCCTTCGAGGTGTTGCACGGATTGATAGAACGGACCCAAGGGGCCAATGCCGTGTTGTGAGGGCTTTTAGAAGAAATATCGCGCAAGCCTCCATTCCCAGTCACAGTGACCCGAGGATTGGATCTCCGAACCCGACTCTCGTGGCGCGAGTCATCGATCATCGGAATCTCCGTGGTCGTGGTCGAGTAAGACTCGGGAACCACGGAGCGATCCGGTTGCTCGGCATCTACTGAGGGCTGCTTCTGCGGAACCTTGATCGAGATTGGCTTCGTTGGTGTAGCTGTGGAGCCTTGCGAGGACTTTTGAGGTGTGTTCGGTGTGCTAGACGTTGTGGACAAATCGATCACGGTTTTCGTGGACGCTGAATCAGACGTGCTCAAGGATTCAACGCTCCTCGAATCTGCAAGCATTCCGGAGACCTTTTTCGCATTCTGCGTCGGCTGACCTCTGGCATGTTCCACATGGATTTCCGTACTTGCCTGGGCCCTCGGTGCGATGGACGTGAGCCCCCGCAGGGCGAAACTGATCGTCCGCGATATCCGGGGCACTCTCGTGGCAGAAGTTGGCTTGAGAGCCGGCTTGTTGGGCGAAGCAGCCTTGGTCGAAACCAGACTCTTCTGCACGGTGCGTGACGGCTCAATTTTCCGAGGAGCCGAACTGACGGAATGTGGGCGTTCGTTGGCATTGTTCTCGTTCTCGCGCAATCGAGTCACGGATCGAGCGGAAAGCCGTTCGTGAGCATTGGAGACTTGCACTTCGGGTTCACTGGTTCGCTTTTTCTTCGCAGACCTGCGAGGCTGAGAACGCTTTGGCAAAGCATGGAACACACCGTCGTCATAATTGTCCATCCAAGCAATGACCGAGTTCGAAGACTTCTTCTTCGTTGCAAGAATGGCATCCTTGGAATGAGACATGTTCTGGAGAAAAGGCTCCGGCCGCAGACTGTCACTAAGCTGGTATCTGAATGGGGAATTGCGTTTTAAGGGTGTCTTCGATGGACTTATGCTTGAAGGGCTCAGGCCGGTCGCGGGACTAGCTCCTCTGGTGACTCCCTGTCCTTCGAGCAGGTAAGGAATGGAGATGTTTGACTGCTCGCTCTCCATAACACCCATCATCTGAATCTCGTACATCCGCACACGGGGCACGAATAACTTGGATTGTTTGGTGACAGTGAAAGGGATTGGCGCATTCGGATCTTTCTTTAGTATCCGTCGAGCCTCTCGGTAAGTGTCAGGATTCCAGTATGAGATATCGAGCCAATGAGGGATTCCGTAGTTCCAATTGTTCGCATGGGAAGACCATGGCTGCCGGCTACTCATCCCAGGATACGAGCCATGCATGACCGACTTGGGCGAGAGATGTGACGTGCGACTAGCGAAGCTTGCGAAGGATGGACGAGCCTCTGGAGAATAGCCTCCATTCCGAATGTCTCCTCCGTACGTGGCCGTATGGGGTCGCTTCACCGGCTCGCGGTATTTGAACAAAGGCACTGAGTGAAGAGGCATGGGGCTCAGACAGACCAAGTCAATGGCAATACCGCGGTTGGTGAGAGCCTCCGTCGTCGAAGCCAGCGACTCGTAGGAGACCTCAAAAACACCGCTTCCAGGGGTGATCACGATGATCGACGTTCCCGTGTGAAGCATGTCACGATCGATGTGATCATAAGCCAGGTGAGAGGACGCAAGGTGAATCGCTTCCAGGATATTGCCGCGCAGAGCAGTGCTGGGCCGTCCTGCGATGGTTGCAGACTGAGCTTTGGGGGCGACCTTGATGCCATCAACCGTGGGCGTCTGCATCTCTTCCGGTGGCTTGAGGATAGAGACATCCCTCAAGAAAGTTCTAAAATCCTTCTTCAGCTCATCTAGAATCGCCGTCCAATGACCACTAGCCATATCGTTGACGACCACGCGGTAAAAATCTCGGGTCGGAGCTGCATTAGTCGTGAAGTCACTCTTCCAGCTGTCCAGATTGAGATTGGACGCAGGGCCTATCGCCGTCGCATCGTACTCCACGCGGGTGAACAGCACAATGGTAACCAGATGTCTTGCGTCGGAATTGGCCCACCGCTTGAAGAGCTCCGGAAGGAAGCCGTTGATGACCCTGCTGAACAAAATATCGCCCGTGCCCTCGGAATCAAAGTCCCACATCTCCCGCGACATCTGGA